CACGCACATGCGCCCGGCTTGAGTTTAAGCCAACGGGTCTGGGACTTGAACCACGGTCGACTACTTGGGAGTCCAGTGACATAGCCATTATGCTAACTGCTGGTCCCAACAACATTGATGAATCTTAAAAACATAAGTGAAAGAAGCTAGTCACAGAAGACCATGTATTATTATATTCCATTTATATGAAATGTCTAAAATAGACAAATCTGTAGAAACAGAAAAAGATTAGTGATCGTCTAGAGCTTTGGTGGGAGGGTAGTAACTGGTTGTGGAGTGATAGCTGAAGGATATTAGATTTCATTTTGCAGTAAAGAGAATGTTCTACTGAGACCAGCAGTTAGTGTAATGGCTATGTCGCTGAACTCCCATGTAGCCAACCACAGTTCAAGTCCCGGACATGGTAGCTTCAACTCACTCCGGGCGCATGTGCATGCATGCCCAAGATCCCGAGAGAAGAATGGAGGAGAATGGATTGCGGCGTGGCCATCCCCACTGGGGGGGGGGTGTGTGATTTCTTGCTTTATGTCTGTCTCTATTTGTCTTTCTGGCGAGCGCATGCACCCTATAGCAAAAACTTCTCAAAAAAAAGAAAAGAAAATGTTCTAAAATTATGATCGTTACATAAACTGAATATGTCCAAAACATTTTAATTATATTCAAAGCATCTAATTGAATCATATACTTTAAATAAGTTAATCTTACAGAATGTAAATTTTATCTTGAACTCTTTAATAAAACAAAAGGAGGAAAAAATATCTATAAAGTGATGATAACTTTACATTCTACACGAATTTATACTCTATATCAGCAGCAATCTTTGGTTTATCACTTATGTATTCCCACAAACTAGAATAGTGACTGACATATAATCAGCACTCAGTATTTTCTGAATGATTTTAATGATAACAAATGCAAAACCTGGGACTGGCAGGTGTTATGGTAGTTAAGGCACTGGATTCCCACATGGCCGACTGTGGTTCGAGTTCAAGTTCCGGGCCTGGCAGATAGCTTTCTCATTTCCCCCATCTTTGTTTCTCTCTGGTCAGATTAAAAATAATAATAGGGGGAACCAGCAGTTGGCATAATGGCTATGTCACTGGACTCCCACGTAGTCGACCGCGGTTCATGTCCCAGACCCAGTGGCTTAAAACTCACGCCGGGCGCGTGTGCATGCATGCCCAAGATCCC